CTGGGAAAGATTGGGGGCAGGAGGAGAAGAGGATGATAGAGGATGAGATGGCTGGATGGTATCACCAACTCAATGGGCATGAGTTTGAGTAAACTCCAGGAGTTGGTGATGGACAGGGAGGCCTGGCGTGCTGCAATTCATGGGGTCGCAAAGAGTCAGACACGACTGAGCAACTGAACTGAACTGAACTGTCTCCAGTTTATTGGGACTGTCATGCTATCTGTATTGGTTTCCACAAGCATTTTTAACATCATTCCATTGTGGTCTCCTGGATCATGTATCTGAGATACTGTCACTAGTTTCCCAGGTGGCCCAGGTAAGTGAGCGATAGAGCCAAGAGTTAGAGCTGCTGGTCCCACTTTCTAGTAAATTTCCCCTCTTTCAGTTTGCACTTCATTCACCTGAATGGATAATGGGGCCTTTGCAGAAAACTTAGTCCCCTCAACACAGAAGGTGTGATTCTTTGAAGTGGAAGACTCATTCTCTCAGAAGCTTTCGATCTCCTAGACAAAAGTATTTGATTGAATTTTTTAGCTGTCTGTTATTAAATAGCATTAGTATACCAACAGTGTTTTTGGCGGGGGGGAGGGGGCAGTGCGTATGTGTCTTGGAAAAGTCATATCTAATTTTCAGATGCAAAGTTTATGTATAAATAATATGATAGGAGATTCTTCTGGCTTGAATGGAGAAGGCCCTGCATCTATATTGAGACTGAGAGCCCAGACAGGCCTGTCCACTTCCTAGTTATGCCACTTTGGGCATCCTCTCTGTGTGACCTGTGTAAGTGATGTGAAGCTCTTAGGAAAAAACATACCATGTAAATCTTCAATACTACTGTATTTTCACAGGTTAGGTGAATTTTGTTACCTTATTACAGAAATAAGAATTCCTGCTGTCTTATCTGTGTAACAGCAGTCTTGGGTTGGAAAAAAAATCTGTTCTAGCTAGTATTTAAGAATGTCTAAGATTTTTAAACTGCAAAAGTTCTCAATAATTAAGTTTCTGTGTCCTTGATATACTTTGCTATTATCAGTCTTAGACCACTCCAGGGTTCTTTATTTTCTTCTCCTTTTGGTCAAAGAATAGGAAAATGTGACTTGCTGCTGTGCCCTGCTTTTCACAACTGCTTGCCTTTACTGTCTAGTATTTATTTCAAGAAATGATTCCTGCGTGGGTCATCCCCAGTGGGGAGGGTTCATCTTTCCCTTTGCCCGCATAGGACTGGATAAGGGAGATTTCGGGGGAGCAGCAACAAATCTGTTTGAAATCTGATAGGGTGACATTTTTGGGTCTTGTTTTGGTTGAGGACAGTTTGATTTTTTTTTTTTTTTTAATGGAAATGACAAGTATACAAAAATAAGTCTTAAGTTAAACCAGAGGTAAGGGAAAGGGTTCATCCTCATACATGTAAAATTAAAATAGCAGAGAAAGCATAATTTTCATGGAGTATTAGATTTGGAAAGAAATAATAGAGTTCATCTAGTCCAACCTCCTACTGGTGAATAAACACTCATTTTGTGTTTATAGAAAAAACTATTTGAAGTTTGAAACAGGAATTTGGGTTTGAAAATGCTTCATTGCCTAATTATTTTTTGCTTTTTCTAGTGGAGGTTTTTTCCCTGAGTTACATTATATGTAAACCTTTATATCTACAAAAACATAAATATATTTGCATCTATGAAGTTTTTATACCATTCAATGGATCCTAAGTAGAAAGGTAAAGTTTTTACTTCGGTTGGAAGTCATTCAGGTGAATAGTTGTAATTTTTAAATCACTGTTTGATTAATGTGCACAATAGCTTTAAAGTGGATAAAATTTGCATCTCTTTGCCTAATACCACCCTACAGTTTCCATCAGGCTAGTACTTACTTTACTTGCTCTGATCACTTTCTGCCACAAATATATGAATATGTGAGTGTGTCTGAGTGTCAGGCCCAAATGATTTTTCAGTTATTTTTGCTGTTTTCTTGTGAATATTTGTTCTTAGCTGTTAAAAATTAAGGGGGTAATTTTTACCCCAGTTTGGTTTTATAAGGAGCCAAAGGAATGGTCTTTGTTGTCTTGAAGAAAGTAGCAGTTTTAAAAGGATGTTCACTAAATATTATGAAATCATCATTCTACCCAGGGAAAAGCCAGGGAGATAGGTTTGAAACTAGACTGTTGCTCCAACTGGCAGATGAAAATGAAAAATTTATGACTGATTTACCTAGAGTTCAGCTGTGTAAAGTGTGGCCATGTACTGGTATCATAGCACATTCATACAAACTCACCAACAACATTTCTGTTGTTACATATAATCTGTTACCTTCATGTGCATTGATTTCAGCAGATAACCACAGAGAGAAACTTTGTATAATGTTATATTTCCACAACATGTATTGTTAGCTCAGCCATTTTTTTTTAATGGGTGGAGGCTTGATCACCATGATGTAATCAGAAAGATGTAATCAGCATTGGAAAAAGAAAACATGAAATATGATGAAGGAAAAATAGCTGCATAACTGGCTGAGTGTATTTAATACATTAGAAAATAGGGTGCTAAAATAGATACTTCTTACTCTATCAGTCCTGTTTCAGAGATCTGAAAACTGTCAACGCTTTGTCCATTGATGTGGATGTCCAGGTCAGTCCTGTTTGGGCTCTTGGAGACCAGAGGAGTTTGAAATTCAGGAATAGTCTTGTCAAAATTCTCCATCTTGATTTGATATTCCCCTTTGGAGCCTCGGGTCAACAGAGATGCAAAACAGTGATGTAACATGATCTCGGCGGGCAGGTAGGATGTCCTCCTCTGGCACGTTTCTCCAGTGCCTTCCTGCGTTGCTGAAAGGAACACGACTAATTCAAAGTGGGGAGGATTTTCATGCTGGAGCAGAGTAGCCAGAGGACTTGATGGTGTAATAGAGTGGTAGTAGGTGAGTGGAAAGATAAAGAATGGACACTCCTCAGAACTGATGCCGTCAAGGTGGAAGTCCACACTGGTCTGGTAGAGTTTGCCGTTTTCTCGTTCCTGATAGAGTACAGCTGAGACCCGAACATTGGTTAGAGGGCTAGGTCGGGTGTTGGCCACTTGGAAAATGAGATTAGGTTTGCCTTCTATGTGAGCTACTACTGCTAAGTCAGTAAAGCGAATTGAGAAAGCTCGATTTTTTGGCCGGGCAATCTTCGCCACAAAGGCACCTAAATTAGAAACCATTGAGTTTTTTTTTTAGAACGAACACTAGAAATGTCATTACCTTTTCTGAATGACAAGGATCTAGCAAATCGTTATACATTTCTTAGTGTCATGCCTGCCAAATATTTCAGAAATTCAACTTACTGATTTCTCATTAGCCTGAAGCATTTTTCAAAACAGTACATATATTCTTATTTTAAAACTGATTTCAAAATGGATAAGGAAAATTAATTTGTCACATGGAAATGTAAAACTTTTTAAGTTTGTTAGGAAGTCAGAATGGTCATTGCCTATATTCCTACCCCTGCTTTAAAAAGAAGGGCAACAGAAAGTAAATGCAATTTCATTGCCACCAGGTTACTTCAAGTTGAAATAGAGATTAGATTCATGGTAGAATGATTTGGGGTAGGGAAGGGACCAGTAGAACAAGTGGCCCATTGAAGAATTTTTAACTTTGAAATTTATACAAAGCCTTTTTTCTTTTAAAAAGGCTCTGGCTCTCAGGTGATTTGAGAGTATGCTTCAAGTGCATCCTCCGCCTAGCCACCTCTTCTCTCCCTGCCCCCCCACCTCTAGATCAGGGTTTCTTAACTACTACTGTGCCTCAGATGTTGGCAGGCTGGTGAGGTCTATGGACCTCTTATCAAAATTATGCTTTAAATGCATTAAAGTAAAATACATAAAAAGGAAACCAAATATATATATATGTGTGTGTGCATGTGTTTTTTCTTTTTTTCTTGCTAAGGATGTGTATTCTTATTCTTTATCATGCAGTACTGACTGTGGTACTCTGGGCTCACTAGTATTGAGTAAATGTTGAAAAGATGAATTCAGGCGAAAATTCTAGCCCAGTAAAGGTTAACAGCAAAAAAAATCAAATTCCTCTGTTAGGTAAAATGACTGTCATAATATGCATTGAACACATTTATTCACTTAAGAAAATATTTAGTACCTTTGAAAAATTCCTTTTAGATTTTTTTGTTCATGTGTTTTTGGCTACTGTCGTAATGATCCCTTTTTTCTTAAGTTGGGTAAAATTTAAATAGAGTCAAATTTTAAAAAATTTCTACAACTGTTTGACCCAAGACTCTTTTCTAGTCTCAAGCATTGCTTGTCAATAATGCAAATAAATTATTCTGGAATATGATTGCTTATAACTGACTATACCCATTCAAAAACATTCCTATGCTTTTTTAAAGAACAAAAACAATTACCTGTGATAAAAGCCTCTAGCATGAGGCCTAGGAGCATTTGTATGGCAAGCAGGGCGATTGCACTTGGACAGTCACCGCTGGGGAACATGGTGCCGTAACCAATGGTGAGCTGTGTCTCCAGGGAGAAGGAGAATGCCGCTGCGAAACTGGTGATGTACTTGACACAGATAGTGTGGTTTTCGGGTGGGGCGTCATGATCTAGTCCCAGGTCACCATTCATCTCAGCTAGAATATACCAGAGCACTGCAAAGACAAGCCAGTGGATAACAAAAGAGGCGGAGAAGACCAGCATCATCCAGCGCCAGCGCACGTCCATTAGGGTTCCCCAGGCATCTCGAAGATACGCAAGACCTGTTTGCGCGCCATCCATTTGAAGCGTGCTGTGACCATCCTTGGTAACCATCCTCCGGTGTCTCTGAGTCAGGAGAGGAGCAATAACTTTGCAGTGACTGCCATCCATCTCAGGCTGTAATGCTCTGAAATCGAAAGTGTATTGGTAAACCCTAAACTGTTTCATAGTTAATATTATTTAAATCCTGAGACTTAGTTTTGTAATTTTTTTTTGGAATGCATCCTCAACTACTAGGCAGGCTTTCCCAGTCTGATAGCTCTTTCTGTTTTCACATAAGGGAGCATTTACTCAGTCATTCATTTGATAGCTCATTGTGGATTGCCTTGAGATATCTCTTACTGGTTCTTTCAAGGACTGTTTAAGTATTGTTTGGCATTTTAAAAAACTTCTGAGGGCTGAGATTACCATTCATGTCTTTTTTGACACTTTTGTATTTTTCTTGCACAAGTCCAGGCTTCAAGTATGTATTGATTTGACTAAATATTATGTGTAAATAACTTTTCATAATTAATAGCTTATAACTGAATAATGGAATGGAATGTTAAATATCTGTTCCTTTTTAAAATAGAAATTATTTAGAAGTGTAGTGTTTAGCTGACTGAAAATGTTTTGAAGCCAAACTTAGTGCTAGAATAAGATTAAGCTTTTAGAGATCTGTAGTTCTATTGTATGCTTTATAATTAGCCTATTGAAAGTTTTGTAATTAAATTTTATTTGTTTTTGTTACTTTGTGGCCATTTTCATGGAGGCTTTCCTTCTGTGACTGGTGGATTGCCATCCTTTTGAATATTCTAGATTCTGACTAGATAGTAAGTAATTTTCTCTCTACCCAAAATAAGAATCTCCAGGTAGAGATTCCAAGGTAATATTAATTTTGGAAGTAAATGATCCATTAGAAAAAACTTCAAGTTCAATGAACTAAAATAATCATTAAGATATCAAATGGCAGTTTTTAGAACATATTAGTAAAACTAGTTTTTAGCTGTAGTCAGTTTTCATCTATGTTTATGTTGTCTCTGTGTGGTACATAGAAGTCAAACATGTCCTTTCCATGTGACCATCCTTGCATACGACAGAAGTGCAGAGACAGCCAGGAACAGACCGGGAGATGTGACTTTGCTTCCCTTGAGTGCTCCTTTCTTCTCTGCCTCAGTCCAGTACTTGGGGGTTTGTGTGTGACTCTCTTTTTTGAGGCTTCTTCCTTCAGAAGTAGATGCCCTTGGAAGTGTTGCGTATCACCTTCCTCCCTTTCGAATGACAGCAATGTTTAAGAAGGTAACTGGAGGCTTGTGGCGCTAGGCTGTTGCTTGAGTTTGCTGGACCCTCCTCTGTTTTAGGAACTTTGGGGTTTTGGACACTGCCTTCCCATGTTGGAATTGGACCTTAGCAGCTGGGTAGATACTTTCCCTTTTGTCCTAAGGCTGATTTAATATTTATTGCTGATATTAGAGACATTCTCTTATATTTTCTTTAGATTTGAGTTGCTGATGGAACACTGGGATGACTGTTAAGTTTATTTAAATTAGATGGTCATTTCAGTTTCATATTATAAATTTAAAAAGTCTTAGGACCTTAATGTCTTATAATTTATTATCCTAACAAGTTGTCATTATTGTTTTATTTAGTTTTTATTTTTTTTTCTTGGCACACTATTTAATGACTCATTTTATTAGATTTGTTAATGTTTTAGAAGACCTGATCTCTTTAGTAATAATAACAAAATATTCATAAATATTTCATATTGCGTTGTCTCTAATTCTTTGGAATCAGCAAGATAGACATTTATATCCCATTCTTCTGATGAGATCACTGAGGATCAAAATTTTCACAGGGCATATGAATTATTTTCCAAGTCTGGCTAACTTTACAGTTGAATTTTTGGTTTTTTTGTTTTAAACTCCAAGAAGCTACCTTATTTAGAGAGTTTGGCGAGATAAAAATCTTCTCAAGATAATTGATACAACATTCACAAGATCATCTTTGACAGCCTAATTTTTAGAACCTTTAGTAGATATTCTTCCTGTCCGCATAAATGTCTCAAGTATCCATTTTAAATCATTGTTAGCTTTATGCATGATTTTTATGTCAATAATGATTAATTGGATTAGCTAATATAGATTGTTGATTATGTGCCAGGAATCATACCAAACACTTCACATGTATTGACTCATGTGAAGCCAGTAGCTTCACAGGAGTAACCTCTTGGGCTATTTGTTGCTTTATTGGTATTAATCTTGTTTCTTATGCATGCGTGTGTGCTCGGTTGTGTCCGACACTTGGTGATCCCATGGACTGTTGCCTGCCAGGCTCCTCTGTCAGTGGGATTCTTTAGGCAAAAATACTGGAGTGGGTTACCATTTCCTTCTCCAGGGGATCTTCCTGACCCAGGGATCAAACCAGTGTCTCTTATGTCTCCTGCATTGGCAGGCAGGTTCTTTACCATTGAACCACCTGGGAAGCCCAGTGTTTCTTAACTTTCATACTATTACCGTTGTTATTGACATTTTACATGTAATGAAGCTGAGGCACAGTATGTTTCCTAAGATCGTAAAAGTAGTGTTAGTGAGTTTCTGCTTAGTCCATAGACCAGACCAGAGTCAGTGCTATATTGCCTCAAAAATAGACATTTTGACCTAGTTATTAGCCTTTGTGAATAACAGTGTTCCATTTGACTAGTTTGTCCAAGAACCCTTCTGAGTATTCTTCAAAAATGCTTAGGCTAAGACCTGTGATTTGTAGACAAGAAATACATTTTCAATTAAGGAAGACATCTTGCATGGTTTGAAGATGAGTAAAATCAGAATTATTACAGTCTAGTCTTGGATTCTGCAGAACAGTAGAGTTAAAATGTGGAGAAGAGAGTTCTTATAAAACATTGCCAAATTTGTATTTTACCAGATGGAGAAAATAATTTTAAAGATTACTACTTTCATCGTAATTGTATGAAAGAAAAGACATTCTGACAGTAAAGGGTAACTGGCTGCCTGCACCAAGTTGATGAACCACTGTGTGGTTTTGCGTTATCCGTGGCTTTGACCTTTATTGTTTGTTGCTTTCTGCCTATTTTGGCAAATGCCCATTGTGGACCTCTACACTGGTGCTGTTCCACTTACGGAACCACTGATTGCTTATTGTGTCACAGTCATTTGTGAGGGGAAAGGTCCATGGTTCTTCTTGATTTCAACCTGCTTCATTAAGTTATAAAAGTCATTACCTGAAGAGATAGCCTTTGTATACATACTATAGCTAATAAAATTAATTGTTCTAATCTGGGCCTTTTTTCAGGATTGTAACTTCTTCCTTACAGATTTTGTAGCACAGATTTTGTTCTAGGTTTTTTCAATTTTTTTTTTCCCTCCTGGAACTGAATAAATACAAGGAAAAGCCTGTGAATAGAAGGCTAATATCAGAAACAGTGGAGCATTATCCTTTTTATATATAAAACGGTCCTGGATCTTGTTTAGATGCTGTTGGAAAGTAGAGTAGTTGAGAGAAGTAAGATTTTGATCCCCACTTAACAGATTACCCTGAATAATTCCGTTCTTTGGATTCGTATAGTCAGTGTGGTTTAGCGTAATGAAGACAGGGTGGGAAATAGAGCTGATGGGGCTCTGGCTCTGTTGGTTACATAGCTATGTCAGTTTGGGCAAGCCAGCCAATCCCCTTGGCCAGGTTTCCTTATATTAGAGAGAGAAAGAAAAGAGGGAATTAAATAACATGCTCCTTTAAAATCCTGCATGTTTGTAAACTTACTACCATTTCCCTCAACTTTTACAGGTTTCTTGTATGATTGTTTTCTATATGATTTTACATCTGCTTGTATGACATTTAAAACATTAAATTATTGTTGCCTAATATATGTAGATTTTCTCTCCATCAAATTTAAAACTGTTTGATGGACAGACATTATGCTATTGTATTTCAAGGTAATTTTTATATCCCTACAGGCACACGAGTGCTTTTTGAATGTTTTCATCTTAGTCTGTATTTGTGTGATTCTTGTAAACTGGTCCCAGTAGAACGTAGAATAGAAGCTCGGTATGGTTTGCTTGTACTTCTCTGTGTGGGCCAAAAAATATTTGCCCACATATAAATCATTTGATGGAAAAAAATTGTACTTTATAAAAATGATATTTTGGCTGCTTCATTGGTCATCAAAATAATGAACTCATTCTACTCATTAGGTTGTAGCACTCAAAATCATGTCTTTTATTGTGTTGTAATGTAGTAGTGCAGCTCATATTAAACAGTTAGATACAAGTTATAATAGCTACAGTTGTTACGTGATTAAAGTATTGCCGTATATTTGCTCACTTCTGGTGGAAACACTTTTAAGACTGTAGAGAGTCCTAATCATCTCTCCTGCCCTCCCATAATTGGGACAAACAGTGTGAGTTCTAATTCTGTTATATAAGCTCAGAGATTCTGTTATATTTTAATTTCTTATTTGTAAAGGTACATAATTTCAGCAGTAATTTCATGCTTAAAAAGAAATTAGGACACTTATTATTTTTCCTATGGGTTAAAAAGATAAATTTTTTTTGGTCTTTTTTTTTTTTTTTTTTTTAGTGCTCGTTTTTGGTTTCTTTAATCCTGTCCAGAAGAAAAAAAATTTTTTTTGAAAGCTACTGAATTTTTTTCTAGGATTTTTCTTTTCTCATTTCTGTATTATAATGCAGAATTAGAACACATTTAGTAACACAAGAAAATATTCAATAATGCTTTCAATAAGACTGTTACTCTGTTTCTAAAATTTAAGGAAAAAGAATAAGGAATGTATGACCCTATAGGTAATATCTTTGTTTTGAAACTCTATTGGCAATATCTAGTTCTGTCCCTATTTGTCAGTCAGTTTTTTTCTCTATTTCCCTTAAGGAAAGAAATAGGATTGAATATTATCTCAGGTACTCACCAGTTCTTTTGCTGGGTCAGCCTATATACAGAGGCAGGTCTTGAGGAAACTTTCAGTCTGTCTTTTTGATAAGGTAATTTTAATCTACAAGTCCAGTTTGTAGGTTTTCTTCTTGGACTGGGTTTACAGTTCACATTCCTCTGTTTATAATGTCGTGGGGGCTGGTTTCAGCTGAAGCTGATGTGATTGGTCACTTAGTCTGCAGGGGGGCCAATTAGCTCTGATCATGTGGAA